CAGAACACTGCGACAGTCTTCCAAAAATGTGGTCACTCTCGTTTCTGAATCCTTGCTGGGGGTCCCACTCGATATATATTGGCACTGACGTAACCAATCCACTTCCTCACAAGTACAAATCAGTGTGCCTTTTTCTATAATCTGTTCCCGGTCGCAAAGGTTCAGCACACGTACTCCTGAGATGTCAGTGGTCCTGACCAAGGTTCGAGCTAATTTCCATGGAAGGTCGTTGTTTACCCTTTCCACAAGTACACAACGGTGAGCTTGCCCAGCGTTTCGAGGAAGACTAACCGGAACAATCGTTTCCGATCTCGGCGGAAGAACAATCTTCTTGATGCTGTACACGTTCCTTGGTAACGCACCTTCCATAAAAAGTTCCTCCTGTCCACATTTCAAAACACCTTGCTTAACCTGTTAGCTCGCGAGGCCACGCGTAATATGACACTCCCGTTCGCTCGCGACCGTATGGCGGGAAAATTTGCAAATTAGCAAATTTTTTGCTATATTGCAAATTTTGCTATATTTTCACTTTGAGACAATATTTATGGATAAAACTTACAGGAATTCTTGTTGAATGTATAAACTACTGAATAAAATTATTTTGGTTGTTAGAAATTATAATAAAATTCATAAATTACCCTTTATAGCATAAGTAGTAGTATATACTTCACTTTTAGTGCCAAAATTACTACCTGCGTCGATCTCGCAACAATTATTCCTCATAAAGTCTAAGCCTAGGATGCAGTCGTCCATTATATCAGACACGATGACATTATGCAGGTAGATCACGTTGCCTAGCTTCAACTCCATCTTCTTTTCTCCACGGACGGGTATACGCTGACCGGTTGCTGTTACCAAATTAATGCGTTCTCGGTTGTATGCGGAGTCCCCAAGGAACTGACTTATAAGTTGGGAACTAACAACCGTACGAGAGGCTCTAGTGTCTATGGTCAGCTTACACGGCATTCCGTTGATCTCGCCCTTTATGATTAGGCTGTTCCCGGCATGAGTTTGTGAGATCGAGATCCTTGGGGCTCTTTTAACATCAGCCAGCACCCGCCCCGCAGTTCTGGCTTTTACTCGTTTCCCTGCTGCTGCTGGGCGGTGCTGTTGCCGCACTACCCTCCTGAGATCGTTCAATTTCCCTTAGCTGGATCGAAGATGGCTTTTTTTTCCCCGCTTAGGGCAGCTGGATCGAAGATGGCCCTTTTCCCCACAGCTATAGCACCTTGGGCTGTATCCTTTGTTGCGGTCGCGAACTGTAGCTGCTGCAACCTCCCTGACGCGATGGGAACGATGATCCTGCCGCACGGCTTCCACTTCCAGTGCATGGGCCAAGGCGTCCTTAAGCGTCTCGTGGTGCCCGAGCTTCACAGCAGCTCTGACTTCCAGGTCGCGGATGCCGTCGATGAATGTCTGCACCAGTTTCCCTTCAATGAGCGCAGGTACAGACCGGTATGCTTTTCGCACCAGCTTCTCCACTTCTAGAGCCCACTGCTGCAGGTTTTCGTTGATGCGCTGCACACGATCTTTAAGCTGCGCACGAAAGACGTGTTCCAGGTGAGCGTCGCCATATCTCGCCTCCAATGCCTCAAGGAGTTGCTCATAAGTCACTTCCTCACCGAGGGCTTCCAGAACTGTTAAGGCCTGGTCGCGCAGGCCTAGTGTGAGAGCAGTCATGGCCTGACTTTTATTCCAGCCGTTCGCCTTCATAACAGCCTCGAACTGGATTTTGTAGACTGATCAGGAAGTAGTCCCGTCAAACGGTGGCACCTTGAACCCACGTAGCGAAGGTGCTGAAGCTACTACGGGAGCTGTGGTTCCATCCCCAAGTTTGAGTTCATCCAGCGTTTTCTTAACTTGGTTGATTTGGGTCTCAGCTTCCGACAGGCGGTTATCATGTTGAGCAACCTTATCCTTCACCTCCCTTATCTCTTTCCCGAAGGTAGCGTGAAGGTCCTTCATGAGAAGCATCTGTTCTTCCTGGCCGCCCCGCAGCTGCTCTTCCAACCGACGGACCTGTTCCTCCTGTCGGCGAGCCTGTTCCTCCTGTTGGCGAGCCTGTTCCTCCTGTCGGCGAGCCTGTTCCTCCTGCTGCTCTTTCAACAGACGGGCCTGTTCCTCTCGTTCGCGCTTCAGCTGCTCCTGTAGCATCGCCATCAGAGCACCTAAGTCAGGTGCTGCAGGTGTAGGAGCTACTGACGGGCCCGCAGCCTCCGTGGCTGGCAGTTGGCCTTCCGACGTCTGCGGCGTTGCACCACCAAATCTCCTCTGGTCCGTCTCAGCTGGCGTTGACTGCGGGTACGGACACCCTCCGTTTCCTCCTTAGGTAAAATCGGCATGATTTTATCCCATTTCTGACACCAATTGTTACGAGCTTGAGGTTCGTGACAATAAAAATTGCCGATAAAATTACCAAAATTAACACTTTAATTTTCTTTACACGAATTAAAACTTAACACACTAATTCACTTTATTCCGCTCCGAAGCTTCGCTTGTGTCGCCAATTCCAATACTTCTTCGATCGCATCTTGCAGCACCTTTTTATATAAATTAGCAAAGAAGCGTCCGGAATATTCAAGTAAATGCGCGCAATGGGACGAGTGTGCGAGTGTAGATTTTCTAGAAACTTAGTTCTTCGGATGGCGCTGTCGGTTGAGTGATTTGTGATGTCATTTTCTCAATGCTCCCCTCGCTCTCGTTCCTGACACTAGATGGCGCTAGTGTATCGTCGACTTGAGCGCGTAACAATATTAACTCTGACCTCTCAATATATTTATGAAAATTTAATGTACGTACACAAGAATAAACGTAGTTTTGCAAAAATAAGTGATATTCATTCTGTAAATACTAGGAGCAGACACAAGCTAGTAGTACCAGTTATTCGACTCCACCGTGTCAGTAATTCATTCTCTGCCCGTGTGTCCCTCCACATTCATATTCAACACTCGTTTTGTGATATGACTTTCATCCCTCCGCATCACATGCCCAAACCATGCCAATCTGCTTCCTCTCACCTTTTCTACCACTGGCGCTACTTTCAGGCTTCCTCTTATATACTCATTCCTTATCTTATCCATCCTTGTCACACCACACATCCATCGTAACATTCTCATTTCATTCGCATGCAGTCTATTTTCATCCTTCTTCTTGACGGCCCAGCATTCACTTCCATACATGACGACAGGTCGGATGATCGATTTGTAAATTTTCCCCTTCAGCCTTATTGGCATTCGGGGATTGCACGTTGTGGCTGTGACCTGTCGCCATTTCATCCACCCTGCATTAATCCTATGCTGCACAGCTCTATCTATTCCGCCGTCGCCTTGAATGAGGGAACCGAGGTACTTGAATTCTGAGCAGGTAGGCAGTATAGCGCCATCCAACGACATGGTACAGGACTGGAAAGACCGCCGAAATCACAGCACAGATATTCGGTTTTGGATCTGCTGATCTTCAAGCCAACACTTTCCAGCCTCTGTTGCCACCCCGTCAGTCTGCTCTGTACCTCGATGCCTTCTTCCCCGACAAGCACGATGTCATCGGCAAAGAGCATGCACCAGGGTGCCTCATCCTGCAGGTCCGACGTCAAAGCGTCCATAATCAGTAGGAAGAGGTAAGGGCTCAATGCCGACCCTTGGTGCAGCCCTACCGCCACATCGATACTGCCCGTAGTTCCCGCGGCAGATCGTACACATGTACGGGATGCTCTGTACATAGCACGGACTAACCTCACATACTTCTCAGGCATACCTTTCATCTTTAACGCCCACCACAAAACCTCACGGGGATCCCGATCGTACGCCTTTTCAAGGTCGACAAAAACCATGTGCAGATTTTTATGCACGCGCTTGTACTTTTCGCACAATTGGCGTAATGCGAAAATGGCATCTGTCGTACCTCGACCGGGCATGAATCCGAACTGGTTTTGTGTTATCTCACACTCTTCTCTCATTCTTTTCTCTATTATTCTTTCCCAGACTTTCATCGTATGTGACATGAGTTTTATTCCCCGGCAACTGCTGCAGTTTTGAACGTCTCCTTTGTTTTTAAAAATGGGGACCAGTATACTACTGCATCATTCCTCAGGTATTTGTTCTTCCTGCAACAATTTACCGAAAAATAAAGTCAACCACTTCCATCCATCCGCACTCAGCAACTTCCACACTTCTACTGGTATTGCATCTGGGCCGACCGCCTTCCCATTCTTCATATTCCTAACAGCCATTTTTACTTCTTCCACACTAATTTCTCTCACTAAGCCCATATTCACTGGTGGGTTTTCAAGCATACCATTCCATTCATTCTCCTCATTCATCAATTTCTCAAAATACTCCTTCCATCGCTTCTTTATACTTTCATCGTCAGTCAAAACCCTTCCAGAATCATCTTTTATACATTTTACATGTGAAACATCTCTTCCATTCCTTTCTCTCGCTTTTGCAATTTGAAAAAGTCGTTTTTGACCTTCGGGGCTTTCAAGGGACCGATATAATTTATCTTGCGCCTCTGCCCTACAAATAGCAACTTCCTTCTTTGCTCTCTTCTTACATTCTTTATACGCCCCTCTCTTACTTTCTTTTATGGAATCATTCTGGTCTTCTACGCTCTGCCATTCTTTAAAGGCATTTTTCTTTTCTCTCAAAACTTCTCTAATACTTTCACTCCACCACCACCCATCCTTATCTATCATACGCTTCCCTTTTGTTTCTCCTAACACCTTCCTTGCCCCACTTCGGATACAATCAGCCATTTCCTTCCAGCACTCATTCACACTCATTCCTTCCATATCACCCATCTCTATCATCTTGTTAACAACTAGCTCTCTAAATTCACTTGCATACTCCTCCTTATGCAACAAATTCCACTTTATTATTTCTTTTTCAATATAGATGTTAAATAATACTTGTTGAAAGACACTTTTATGTTTAATCGGTGTGGTGGGCGTTAACGTCGCCTAAGATCAGGATCTCTGCGGATGGCATCTGGTGTAAAAAACTCTAAGGCACTTCTAGCAAACATAAAATCTTTGAATTTAGAATACAATTAGTGTTTATTGTATAAATAGGCGGGAGTTAATCTACTCCTAACTTTTTGATATTATCAGTAGGACTAGATTAGCACCTTTTCTGCTCTCCTCTCCGGCAAGCTGTCTGGCAAATGGCTCTGGGGGAGAGCGCAGTTCATGTTGATCCCCGGGCAATTCTGAGAATTTCGTCCTACACGTGGTTAACACCTGTTATTTGGTCTGGTTCAATAGGAAACAGACAGAACAGAAAAACTCGGACGATCCTCTTCTTCTTATCTTTTATTCCACTCCATTTTTCCCCATTCTAACCCAATCCAAGGTGTCAAGCGTACCGTGCCGATGGATGCGTGACTGGAGAGAGTCTAATCGCAAACGGTGCCTACGCGAGACCAGGGCGATTCTGGTAGTATTTTAGCCCTTTCGTCGGCATGCGGGTTTCTGCCGGGGGTTACCGAATATTTGAATATTTCCCTAGCATTAGCTTGCATATTAACGTAATAAGCAAAAATTGATATTTTGAGTACCGAAAAACCTCCTCTAATGGAACTATCTGTAGGTTTGAAAGAGGCTCCTTTAGCCTCACCAAAATCCTGCAATACTACGCCCCAACCAGGGACGAGCTGTGAAGTGGAGGGCACGACTGCAGCCGAACCTGCTTTATGAGCTTAGTGGGATAACAAGGAAGAAGTACCGTAGGCTAATAGCAGCTGAGATAGGAGCCGAAGAGGCCCTCTCTCTCAGCCAGAAGCCCTGGGACGAAATTTCTCTGCCCAAACCTTCCCCAGTTGCAAAGGCGGAAAAACGCAGTCGGTCTGAGGAAAAATCACACAAAGACCAGCCCAGGCAACGGGGGAGAAGAAGGTCAGATTCAGTGCCGTAGCTGGCTTTGCGCGAGTGAAAATTCGCAATTCGAACCCTATGAGGGTGGAGCAGATGCGGTTGGTCCACTGGGCACTAACACAGGCCAACACTAAGACGGCTTCTGGGGCACAGCCAAAAGCTAAGCTCCTCAAGAGGCGAAAAAGACCACTGCACCAACTCGCCCATACATGGCTAACCCCAAGGGTAAGACGAGGATACTTTAGGGAAATTTTCACCATGCAGCAGCTGCTTCTGTTCTGGTGGAAGTTTGCTTTGTAGAGAAAAATATTGACCTCGGCCTCATACAAGAGCCTTGGGTGGCCAACGGTCTATTTCTGGGATTGTCGACTGGCGGTAATATTCTTGTCAATAATGAATAGTAGATAGTAGACCCAGAGCTTGTATAATTTACAATAAATATATTCAACTTTTAGTTGTTTTAGAGTACTGCAATGATGATCCAATCCGGAACACTTCGAGGACAGTTATCCCGTCAAAACCAAGACCTCAATACCAAAACTTCCTTGGTGAAATACTAGGCTAAAAGAACTTAGGGAAAAGACCAGAAAACTATTTAATAGGGCTAAGAAAACTAAAGAGTGTGATATTTATAGTGCAGCCCTAAATGAATATAATAGAGAAATTAGGAGAGCCAAGAGATCATCGCAAGAAAGTTGAGTCTTTGCCACGTAGCGAAAGACTACATAAAATGCTATCGAAAGCTATACCTAATCAGATGGAGCCTTGTAAAAACCTGATGGTAACTTCAATAACAATGAAAGGGAACGGAAACAAAAGAGTTACTAGCGTCAAACCATTTCCCAGAGTCACACAAAACTTTAGCCTTGAATTCTTTCAGAGTCTACGAAGGCCTTGTGATGAGGACTGGTGTAGGCTTGCAGGCTGCAAAGATAATAAGGGCAAACTTGGTGCAGTGGGATATTTACTCCTTCAAACCATTCAAACAAGTGGGGAGGATGGAATAATTTCAATCCAACTACAGAGCGGTATCAACATTCTTCTTCCCTATCTGGTGAAAATCTTCAGAGCAAGTTTTGCATGTGGATATATTCCAGAACGATGGACAATTGGAAAAAAGTTCTATTTATACCTAAGGCTGGTAGAATTGACTACGCTTTACCAAAGTCCTTTAGACCTGTAGGCCTATCTTCATTTTTCCTTGAGGTATTAAAAAATGTTAAAGACAGATATATAAAGAATGTAGCTCTAGTTACGAGGCTCATCATTACATTTTATACTAGTATGGCCGTTAACGCCAACTACTTTTAAATGTAATTTTGTAATTTAATATACATATAATACATAAGTGTAACCTGTCAATTGTGAGTCAAATAAATTATTATTATTTTGGGGTATCTATATAGTTTTCTTATCTGGTTGGGTTCTATAAATATATAATTATAAATGAAAATGAAAAGATAAATATACATAAATATCAATAACATAAAATAAATATAAAAGTACATAAATAAATAAAAGCCCAACCAGATGGAGGCCCTCGGCAGGGGAGACCAAACGGCCGAGGGTTAGGGGGAAAGGGAAAGAAACCGGCGGACGATGCGGGCGGTATCGAGGAGCACCACCTTCTGCATCTGAACCTGGAGCGGTCCGCCACGTAGTCCCAGCCGCCTCAGATGACCCGAGAGGCTGACTGGGATTAGCCCGTTTGCAGAGAAGACTACAGGAATAATTTCGGTCGGCAGACCACCCCACATGTCGGTCACCTCGTGAGCCAGGTCCAGATATTTTGTTTGCTTGTCTGTTTCGGTTTTCACGAGGTTCTCGTCATACGGAATGGTAATGTCGACCAAAAATATCCTTGACTGTGCCCGGTCCATCAGCACAATATCAGGCATATTCGCAAGAATAGTCCTGTCTGTGATGATGGCCCGGTCTCAATAGAGCCTGGCGCGATCATTTTCGAGCACGGCTTCAAAGTACTTGTAATACGGCAATTTCCGATCCACGAGACCGTACTTCAGAGCGAGCTCCTGGTGTAGAATTCTGGCTACTAGGTTGTGCCTGTGCAAGTACTCAGAGTTAGAAAGCGCCGAACAACCGGAGATAACATGCCTAAGTGACTCACCGGGATGGCGACAAGCTCGACAGATGTCGACGGTGCCATCCTTTAGCATGTATCTCCGATAGTTGTTGGTCTTAATAACCTGATCCTGTATTGCACAGACAAAACCCTCGGTTTACCCGAAGAGATCAGCAAAGCGTAGCAAGTGGAGGGAGGCTACTGTGTCCACGAAAGGCTCATGTAGAGCCTTGTAGAACCTCCTGTGAAGCTCCTTCTCCTTCCATACGGTCTCCCGGTCGGAAATGCTCTGCGCTGCCTGTTCTTGCCATTGCTCGTTGGCTAAGGATGGAAGGGTAAGTCCTTTATCACAAGAAATGACGTCCTTATAGAATGGATCATCAGATCTCGCCAGGAAGTAATCACGGAGGCTGCACACTTCGCGATTAAGCGTGGTGAGCGCGCTCAAGAAGCCACGACCACCATGCTTCCGCGGCAAGTACAGCCTCATTGCCAACGATCTCGGATGACGCATCCTATGGGACGTCATGGTAGTGCGGACTTTTCTATCCAGGGCGTTAAGTTCAGTTTTTGTCCATCTGAGTATGCCAAAGGTATACATGAGGACAGGCATGACCCAGCCTTTATATGCGTGTGCCTTATTCACACCGGACAAAAGGCTGTTAAGCACTTTGGTCAAGCGTGCATAAAACCCGTCGCAAACTGACTGTTTCATACCAGTCTCATCGATACCGATGTTTTTGACATACCCAGGTATCGGTATGTTTCAGTCTCGGAAAGGGTCCTTAAGTTGACGGGCATATATAAGTCTACGCCCTCAGAGTTAGCAACCCTTCCCCTTTCAACATGGAGGACAGCACACTTATCCGACCCAAGCTCCATTCCAATGGAATTGCTAAATTCACAAGTGATGTTTAGCAATTCCACAAGATGGGAGCGACTGGAGGCGAATAACTTGAGGTCATCCATATAGAAAAGGTGGGTCACTTTTTTCCCTCCTTTCCGTAGCTGAAATCCCCTCCCGGAGCCCTCCAGTAAGGTACTGAGAGGGTTCAGACAGAGGCAGAACCAGATTGGACTCAGACAATCGCCCTGGAAGATACCCCTTCTTATCCTTATGTGGTTCTCCGCAGCCATCATCCACTCGCCCAGATGACAAAGGATCGTACTCCACTGCCCCATACACTGCTAGAGGAAGTCTCTAACTGTACTGTCTATCTTATACAGCTCGAGGACTCTCTTTAGCCATGTATGGGGCACCGAGTCGAATGCCTTTCTGTAGTCTATCCAGGCGGCGGAGAATTTCTGACGGTTGCGTTTCACCACTTTGCCAATGTCCGAGTCAATGAGGAGTGGTTCCTTGGTCCCACGACCACCGCCCCGACATCCATTTTGAGCTTGCGACATCACCTGATTTGAATCCAGGTGAAAAGTGATTCTCGCGCTCAAAATGGATGTTAGTGTATTGTATATGGTCGGTAGACACGTGATGGGGCGGTATTTGCTCGGGTCTGAGGTACCCTGGTCTTTAGGAACCAAATGAGTGATCCCAATAGTGAAGAGGCTTGGGAGCGACTTCTGGTTGAGAGCCTCTTGAAACTGTCGGGCGAGCACAGAGTGACACACCATGAACCCCTTCAGCCAGTAGTGATGCAGCCCGTCAAGCCCCGGACTTTTCCAGTTCGTGGCCCTACGGACCGCCTCAGCTACGTCATCCGGCGTTATGATGACGGGGTCCATGGGCGTAATACCCACACACTGACTTGCCACAACTTCCGTCCAAGGGCCCTCGCTATGGTTTACGGGCTCTGACCACAGGCCGCGCCAGAATGCTACAGTGTCGGCCTGATTCGGTGCTGGACCCGTTCCACTTATCATTGGTCGCTCCAACGATTCATAGAGCCTCTTCTGATCACTCTGGAAGAGACGATTCTGGTTGAACCGTGTCGACCTCTCGGTATATTGCCGAATCCGCTTTCCCCAAGCAGCGATTCTCTGCTTCAGATCATCTATGCGCTCCGTCAGTTTTTGCGTTATATCCGGCTGGGACAAACTGACATTTGTCCCAGCAAGCGCCATCCTGACGTTGCGCACAATTCTTGGCCTGTTGTTGCCTGATCTGAAACATATCAGTCTGCCGATGAGAGCTCTAGCGTAGCTCGTAGCTCTAGCGCCTCTCGCAAGGCGCTGACTGACTGCGTTGACGTAGCAGTTTTGTCACTTAATCGTTACGTCAGCGGGCGATGGGGTCGTCAATTCCCTACGCCTATGTATTATTATTATTTTGGGGTATCTATATAGTTTTTTCATCTGGTTGGGATCTATAAATATATAATTATAAATGAAAATGAAAAGATAAATATACATAAATATCAATAAAATAAAATAAATACAAAAGTACATAAATAAATAAAAGCCCAACCAGATGGAGGCCCTCGGCAGGGGAGACCAAACGGCCGAGGGTTAGGGGGAAAGGGAAAGAAACCGGCGGACGATGCGGGCGGTATCGAGGAGCACCGCATTTTGCATTTGAGCCCGGAGCGGTCCGTCACGGAGTCCCAGTCGCCTCAGATGACCCGAGAGGCTGATTGGGATTAGCCCATTCGCATAGACGACTACAGGAATAATTTCGGCCGGCAGACCACCACACATGTCGGTCACCTCGTGAGCCAGGTCCAGATATTTTGTTCGTTGATCTGTTTCGGCTTTCACGAGGTTCTCGTCATACGGAATGGTAATGTCGACCAAAAATATCCTTGACTGTGCCCGGTCCATCAGCACAATATCAGGCTTATTCGCAAGAATAGTCCTGTCTGTGATGATGGCTCGGTCCCAATAGAGCCTGGCGCGGTCATTTTCGAGCACGGCTTCCGGCAAGTACTTGTAATACGGCACTTTCCGTCCCACGAGACCGTATTTCAGAGCGAGCTCCTGGTGTAGAATTCTGGCTACTAGGTTGTGCCTGTGCAAGTACTCAGAGTTAGAAAGCGCCGAACAACCGGAGATGACATGCCTAAGTGACTCACCGGGATGGCGACAAGCTCGACAGACGTCGACGGTGCCATCCTTTAGGATGTATCTCCGATAGTTGTTAGTCTTAATAACCTGATCCTGCATTGCACAGACAAAACCCTCAGTTTCCCCGAAGAGGTCACCGAAACCTAGCCAGTTGAGGGAGGCGACTGTATCTACGAAGGGCTCATGTAGAACCCTGTAGTACCTCCCGTGGAGCTCCCTCTCCTTCCATACGGTCTCCCGGTCGGAAATGCTTAGTACTGCCGGGTCCTGCCATTGCTCGTTGGCTAAGGATAGAGGGGTAAGTCCTTTATCACTAGAAATGACGTCATTATAGAATGGATCATACGATCCCACCAGGAAGTAATTACGGAGGCTGCACACTTCGCGATTATGCATGGTGAGCGCGCTCAGGAAGCCACGCCCACCATGCTTTCGCGCCAAGTACAGCCTCATTACCGACGATCTCGGATGATGCATCCTATGTGACGTCATGGTAGTGCGGACTTTTCTATCCAGGGCGTTAAGTTCAGTCTGAGTCCACCTGAGTATGCCAAAGGTATACATGAGGACAGGCATGACCCAGCCGTTATATGCGTGTGCCTTATTCACACCGGACAAAAGGCTGTTAAGCACTTTGGTCAAGCGTGCATAAAACGTGTCGCAAACTGACTGTTTCATACCAGCCTCATCGATACCGATGTTCTGTGACATACCCAGGTATCGGTATGTTTCAGCCTCGGAAAGGGTCCTTAAGTTGACGGGCATAGATAAGTCTATGCTCTCAGAGTTAGCAACCCTACCCCTCTTAACATGGAGGACTGCACACTTATCCGTCCCCAGCTCCATTCCAAATGTTCAAAAGGAGGCAGAACCAGATTGGACTCAGACAGTCGCCCTGGAATATACCCCTTCTTATCCTTATGCGGCTTTCCGCAGCCGTCATCCGCTCGCCTAGATGAAAGAGGATCGTACTCCACTGCCCCATACACCGCTCGAGGAAGTCTCGAACTGTACAGTCAATCTTGTACAGCTCGAGGATCCTCTTTAGCTATGCATGGGGCACCGAGTCAAATGCCTTTCTGTAGTCTATCCAGGCGGCGGAGAAGTTCCGACGGTTGCGTTTCACCACTTTACCAATGACCGCGTCAATAAGGAGTGGTTCCTTGGTTCCACGACCACCGCCCCGACATCCATTTTGAGCGCGCGACATCACCTGATTTTACTCCAGGTGACGAGTGATTCTCGCGCTCAAAATGGATGTTAGTGTCTTGTATATGGTCGGCAGACACGTGATGGGGCGGTATTTGCTCGGGTCTGTGGTAACCTGGTCTTTTGGAACCAAATGGGTGATCCCAGTAGTGAAGAGGCTCGGGAGCGATTTCTGGTTGAGAGCTTCTTGGAACTGTCGGGCGAACACAGTGTGACACACCACAAACCCCTTCAGCCAGTAGTGATGCAGCCCGTCGAGTCCCGGACTTTTCCAGTTCGGGGCCCCACGAACCGCCTCAGCTACGTCATCCGGCGTTATAATGACGGGGTTCATGGGCGTTATACTCGCACACTGACTCGCCACAACTTCCGTCCAAGGGTCCTCGCTGTGGTTTATGGGCTCTGACCACAGGCCGCGCCAGTATGCTACAGTGTCGGCCTGATTCGGTGCTGGGCCCGTTCCACTTACCATTGGTCGCTCCAACAATTTATAGAGCCTCTTCTGATCACTCTGGAAGAGAAAATTCTGGTTAAACAGTGTCGACCTCTCGGTATATCGCCGAATCCGCTTTCCCCAAGCAGCGATTCTCTGCTTCAGGTCGTCTATGCGCTCCGTCAGTTTTTGCATTATATCCGGCTGGGACAAACTAACATTTGTCCCAGCAAATGCCATCCTGACGGTGCGCACAATCCTTGGCCTATTGTTGCCTGACCTGACACATATCAGTCTGCCGATGAGGGCCCTAGCCTTTGCGATAAGTTCTTCAATTCTTATTCTCCAGACTGGGATAGCGCTACTTTGTCCAGTAACGAGTCCAGCCGTGGAAAGTTTGGCGCCTATAATACGGCACACTGCCAGTGTGGCGCCAAAAAGAATTGAGTCCGTCTCGCAAAGGTCCCGGCTGGCTTCCAAATAGGTCACCAGCATTGGGTTCAGAGCCATCACGACAGCCCGATTCCGCTTGCTTAGGGCTATGCGGGGAAGTCGCGGTCGATTTTCGAGAGGCGTACTGCGCGTTTCCACAATCGACTCTTCCAATGTACTCCTCATATGCTCTAATTCCAGTTCCTGGGCGACTGTTCCATCATCGTTTGAATCAACCACAACTGGGGTATTCACGGCGGCATTCACATTTGCGGGTTGCTCTGCAATTTGTGGCGCCGCATCCTTAGCCGTAGCATTTTCATCCGATAAGGGAACAGCCTCACGTCGTAGTCGTTCGAGTTCGGCGACATCAAATATATTTGAGCGCAAGATATACCGAACCCGGTCTGCCAGGTTTTGCTCTGAGACGGTGAAAGATGGCTCCAGCTCAGCAAAAAGACGATGCATCCTAGCCCGATACGCCAAACCTCCAACTTCTCCCCCTTTCGCCCTAAAATACGCCCGCAATGCGTTAGTATTCGTTTCGGTTGTCCATCGCATGCGGCGTACTCCAACAGTGGCGGGTGCCGATTGCTGGGCCTGCGAAGACCCTGCCGACACCAAGCCAGCTGGTTGGGATGATGGATGCGAGGGGCTGATGGGTGGTCGTGCAGCACCTCTCGCTCGGCTGGCGGTTCGCATGCTGTCACGTCCAGCGCCAGCACCAGACGCGCCCTGGCGACCTCCAGGCAGCGGCCCTTTGCGCGTTTTTGCATATTCCATCATCCATAAAAGTGGGCGTCATTTAACGGGAGACGCCCAGACCCGGCGCCGTTTTATGGTGGGGCCATGTGCACAAGTGGGCCTTTGCGCCTTTAATTTTTGCCGAGGCACGGCACTAACACCTCTTGGCAAGGTGCTGACTGACTGCTCTGACGTAGTGGTTTTGTCACATAACCATTACGTTAGCGGGCGATGGGGTCGTCACTTCCCTACGCCATTGTTATTATTATTACGTGGGGTATCTATATAGTTTTCTCATCTGGTTGGGATGTATAAATATATAATTATAAACGAAAATGAAAAGATAAATATACATAAATATCAATTAAATAAATAAATAAAAAAAATACATAAATAAATAAAAGCCCAACCAGATGGAAGCCCTCGGCAGGGGAGACCAAACGGCCGAGGGTTAGGGGTAAAGGGAAAGAAACCGGCGGACGATGCGAGGAGCACCGCCTTCTGCATTTGAGCCTGGAGCGGTCCGCCACGTAGTCCCAGCCGCCTCAGATGACCCGAGAGGCTGACTGGGATTAGCCCGTTTGCAGAGACGACTACAGGAATAATTTCGGTCGGCAGACCACCCCACATGTCGGTTACCTCGTGAGCCAGGTCCAGATATTTTGTTTGCTTATCTGTTTCAGCTTTCACGAGGTTCTCGTCACACGAAATGGTAATGTCGACCAAAAATATCCTTGATTGTGCCCGGTCCATCAGCACAATATCAGGCTTATTCGCAAGAATAGTCCTGTCTGTGATGGTGGCCCGGTCCCAATAGAGCCTGGCGCGATCATTTTCGAGCACGGCTTCCGGCAAATACTTGTAATACGGCAACTTCCGATCCACGAAACCGTATTTCAGAGCGAGCTCCTGGTGTAGAATTCTGGCTACTAGGTTGTGCCTGTGCAAGTAATCAGAGTATGAAAGCGCCGAACAACCGGAGATGACATGCCTAAGTGACTCACCGGGATGGCGACAAGCTCGACAGACGTCGACGGTGCCATCCTTTAGGATGTATCTCCGATAGTTGTTGGTCTTAATAACCAGATCCTGTATTGCACAGACAAAACACTCGGTTTCCCCGAAGAGGTCACCAAAGCGTAGCCAAAGAAGGGAGGCTACTGTGTCTACGAAAGGCCCATGTAGAGGCTTGTAGAACCTCCCGTGGAGCTCCTTCTCCTTCCATACGGTCTCCCGGTCGGAAATTGTCTGCACTGCCGGGTCTTGCCATTGCTCGTTGGCTAAGGATATAGGGGTAAGTCCTTTATCACAAGAAATGACGTCCTTATAGAATGGATCATCCGATCTCGCCAGAAAGTAATTACGGAGGCTGCACACTTCGCGATTATGCATGGTGAGCGCGCTCAAGAGGCCACGCCCACCATGCTTTCGCGGCAAGTACAGCCTCATTACCGACGATCTCGGATGATGCATCCTGTGGGACGTCATGGTAGTGCGGACTTTTCTATCCAGGGCGTTAAGTTCAGTCTGAGTCCACCTGAGTATGCCAAAGGTATACATGAGGACAGGCATGACCCAGCCGTTATATGCTTGTGTCTTGTTCACACCGGACAAAAGGCTGTTAAGCACTTTGGTCAAGCGTGCATAAAACACGTCGCAAACTGACTGTTTCATACCAGCCTCATCGATACCGATGTTCTGTGACATTCCCAGGTATCGGTATGTTTCAGCCTCGGAAAGGGTCCTTAAGTTGACGGGCATAGATAAGTCTATGCCCTCAGAGTTAGCAACCCTTCCCCTTTCAACATGGAGGACCGCACACTTATCCGTCCCCAGCTCCATTCCAATGGAATTGCTAAATTCACAAGTGATGTTTAGCAATTCCATAAGATGGGAGCGACTGGAGGCGAATAACTTGAGGTCATCCATATAGAAGAGGTGGGTCACTTTTGTCCCTCTTTTCCGTAGCTGAAATCCCCTCCCGGAGCCCTCCAGTAAGGTACTGAGAGGGTTCAGACAGAGGCAGAACCATATTGGACTCATACAATCGCCCTGGAAGATACCCCTTCTTATCCTTATGTGGTTCTCCGCAGCCATCATCCGCTCGCCCAGATAACAAAGGATCGTACTCCACTGCCCCATACACTGCTCGAGGAAGTCTCTAACTGTACAGTCTATCTTGTACAGTTCGAGGACTCTCTTTAGCCATGTATGGGGCACCGAGTCGAATGCCTTTCTGTAGTCTATCCAGGCGGCGTAAAAGTTCCGACGGTTGCGTTTCACCACTTTGCCAATGACCGCGTCAATGAGGAGTGGTTCCTTGGTTCCACGACCGCCGCCCCGACATCCATTTTGAGCGCGCGACATCACCTGATTTGAGTCCAGGTGACGAGTGATTCTCGCGCTCAAAATGGATGTTAGTGTCTTGTATATGGTAGGTAGACATGTGATGGGGCGGTATTTGCTCGGGTCTGTAGTACCCTGGCCTTTAGGAACCAAATGGGTGACCCCAGTAGTGAAGAGGCTCGGGAGCGACTTCTGGTCGAGAACCTCTTGAAACTGTCGGGCGAGCACAGTGTGTCACACCACGAACCCCTTCAGCAGTAGTGATGCAGCCCGCACTTTTCCAGTTCGGGGCCCTACGGACCGCCTCAGCTACGTCATCCGGCGTTATGGTGACGGGGTCCATGGGCGTAATACTCGCACACTGACTCGCCACAACTTCCATCCAAGGGCCCTCGTTGTGGTTTACGGGCTCTGACCACAGGCTGCGCCAGAATGTGACCGTGTCGGCCTGATTCGGTACTGGGCCCGTTCCACTTACCATTGGTCGCTCCAATGATTTATAGAGCCTCTTCTGATCACTCTGGAAGAGACGATTCTGGTTGAACCGTGTCGACCTCTCGGTATATCGCCGAATTCGCTTTCCCCAAGCAGCGATTCTCTGCTTCAGGTCGTCTATGCGTTCCGTCAGTTTTTGCATTATATCCGGCTGGGACAAACTAACATTTGTCCCAGCAAACGCCATCCTGACGGTGCGCCATCGATGAGGGCCCTAGCCTTTGCGATACGTTCTTCAATTCTTGTTCTCCAGGCTGGGATAGCACTACTTTGTCCAGTAGTGCGTCCAGCCGAGGGAAGTTTGGCGCCTATAATACGGCAGACTGCCAGTGCGGCGCCAAAGAGAATTGAGTCCGTCTCGCAAAGGTCCCGGCTGGCTTCCAAATAGGTAACCAGCATTGGGTTCAGAGCCCTCACGACAGCCCGATTCCGCTTGCTTAGGGCTATGCGGGGAATTCGCGGTCGATTTTCGAGAGGCGTACTGCGCGTTTCCATAATCGCCTCTTCCAATGTACTCCTCATTTGCTCTATTTCTAGTTCCTGGGAGAATGTTCCATCATCATTTGAATCAGCAACCACTGGGGTATTCTCGGCGGCATCCACGTGTGCGGGTTGTTCTGCAACTTGTGGCACCGCACCCCCAGTCGTAGCGTTTTCATTTGATGAGGGAACAGCCTCACGTCGTAGCCGTTCGAGTTCGGCGCCATCAAATATATTTGAGCGTAAGATATACCGAACTCGGTCTGCCAGGTTTTGCTCTGAGACGGTTAAAGATGGCTCCAGCTCAGCAAAAAGACGATGCATCCTAGCCCGATACGCCAAACCTCCAACTTCTCCCCCCTTTCGCCCTAAAATACGCCCGCAATGCGTTAGTATTCGTTTCGGTTGTCCATCGCATGCGGCGTACTCCACCAGTGGCGGGTGCCGATTGCTGGGTCTGCAAAGACCCTGCCGACACCAAGCAAGCTGGTTGGGATAATGGATGCGAGGGGCTGCTGGGTGGTCGTGCAGCACCTCGCGCTCGGCTGGCGGTTCGCATCACTGACTGCGCGGACGTAGCGGTTTTGTCACATAACCGTCACGTCAGCGGGCGATGGGGTCGTCACTTCCCTACGCCATTTTATTATTATTATTTTTATTATTATTACAACCAGCATGTTTTTCGCACAGGCAAATCTTAGGAAACAGCCCTGATCAGTGTCATCGACAAAGTCGAAAAAGCATTGGAGGATAAAGAAATAGCTCTTTGTGCCTTTCTGGATATTTAAGGCGCCTTCGATAGCAGCCCCACATCACTGCTGATTGGGGCCTGACATCTAAAAATGTTGACCCCACAACCATCAGATAGGTAAACCCAAACAGAAAGGCAAATATAGTGCTGTTTCATACTTCGGTTGAGGTTGCAATTACAAGAGGTTGCCCACAAGGAGGTGTTTTGTCACTCCTTCTTTGGACTCTAGCTTATGCTGATGAGCTTGTGATCATTGCGAGGGGCTTTTGCCAAAGTACTTTTTCGTCAATAATACAGAGAGCCCCCAAACACCTTAAATAACTAGTGTAGGGATAAAAGTTTATCAGTTAATGCTGATAAAACTGTTATAATACCCTTTATCAAAAGGAGATGGTTGGACAAATTAGTCCAACCAAAACTTAACGGTAAAGAAGTACCATTAAGTACTTGAGCTGCTTTAGGTACGTTAGTCGATTGGTCGGGAATAACTGGGGCTTGCGTCCCAGTATATTCATATGGCTGTACAACAGTATAGTGCGGCTGATTCTCACCTAAATTATGGTAAACATCTGCAACTCGATTTGGACTACAGGCGTATGGCCTAGAGAATGGACTGAATCTGTTTTTGTGCCCTTGCATAAGAAAGGTTCCAAAAGTAATTGTACAAACTACAGGACGATTCCCTTGATTTTGCACGCCAGCAAAGTCATGCTATATATAATAAATAACGTCTTAAGAATTTCCTAAACAGGCAGATTGCCGAGGAGCAAGCTGGCTTCGTAAAGGGCAAGGGCACGAGAGAACAGATCTAAATATCAGGCAGATTATTGAAAACAGTCGCGAGTTTGCCAATCCAGTGTTACTGTGCTTTATCGATAACAGTAAGGCATTTGACTGCGTCCGTTGGGATAAACTATGGTCAATATTGGTCGAAATGGGAGTACCAACACACCTAGTCAGCCTAATTGCCAACCTGTATATAACAACCGATCTTATGTGAGACTCGATGGCAGTCTTTCCAATGAGTTTATGACTATGAAAGGCGTAAGATAAGGTTGTATACTGTCTCCATTGCTCTTTAACATATATGGGGAACACATCATGCGGAAAACCATGGAATTCTGGGATAAAGGGTTTCATATTGGGGGAAAAAGGGTGGCAAAACTTGCGATATGCAGACGACACTGTGCTTCTTGCAACATCTTATGAGGACATGGAGGAGCTGCTGCATAAGCTAGAAGTAGAAAGCGAAGAGCCAGGTCTGTCATCAACAGGAATAAAACGAAACTCATGGTTATAGACCGGGCTAACAAACTTTCCAACACTTGCAGCATTCAAGGGATCGACGTTGTGGAGAATTATATATACCTAGAATCTCTGATCTCAAATAAGGGCACTTGCGTTCCCGAAATTAAACGTAGAATAGCAATAGCTAAGGATGCGATGACCAGACTGACAAACATCTGGAGGACAGAAGCATAACAAATAATACTAAATTACGCCTAGTACATACTCTTATACTCGTATTTCCAATTTTTCTCTATGTAGTGGAAACATGGACTATACACGTCAGAGAAAGGGAGAAAACTGATGCGTTCGAAATGTGGTGCTGGAGGCGAATGCTGCGAATACCGTGGACTGCGAAGCACACAAACATGTTAATCCTATCACAACTCAAGATCAAGACGCGTCTTTCCACCACAAGTCTTCAGTACAGCTATTTTGGTCATATCTCTCGCCGCGGGGACGAAAGTATTGAGAAATTGCTAGTTGTTGGAAATGTAGAGGGAAGAAGGCCCAGAGGTAGGTCTCCAACCCGGTGGTCCGACTAAGTCAAAGAAGTCGGTGCACGAAATTTCTACGACACTCTCCGTATGGCCAGCGATAGGACCCGGTGGAGAGAGATCATAAACAATAAACTTACTCTCCGTGATGGTGATCACGATCCTCAGTCATGAGGGACCGACTAAAGAGAGAGAGAGAGAGAGAGAGAGAACGCCCAGGGCAGTCTGAGCTTGCTCTCCTACAGATTGAGATCCATGCTCGACTCAATTAAGCAAATACCGGTCTTATGCGTGATCTCAGATATCATGGGTCCACTACACACTTTTGATAAAAAGTATATAGTGGAATCACTCTCCAGAGAAAACTGGCTGAATGGTCAGGTTATCTGTGAGGACATTAGCCTCATATGGTTTGGTTTACCGATGGGTCTAAAACAGGCCTCGACGTAGGCGAAAACGAATTTACGGGGAACGCCTCAAATTCGAAATTATTACGAATTTGAGTAGATTCACCTCTATCTTCCAGGCAGAAATATTCGCCATACTGTAGTGTGCGGAAATTAATCTGCAAATACCCTACGTCAACCATATAATTTAAGTGCACACAATTTGGACCTGAGCCATTTTGTGGAATCTCAAGAAGCCTAGCCCTATTGACCCTTGAAACTCTTTATCACAATAAATCACTTAAGATCTGGTCTGACACACCAGGCTAAAAACATTCTAAAACCTTGATCCGGGCTTTTGATCTTAAATTCGCTTCAGAAGACCTGGGATTAAGTAAAAATAAATTGCGCATTCCGGCAAGAGCCCCAAATGGACACTGTTGTTTTAAAAAGCACATATCCATCCTGGGACTAATCAATGCAAAGATGTGTCGGTTCTGTTTCATAACGGAAGAAATGCCTCTGTACATCCTAACTGAATGCGGACCCTTAATGCGTAAACGTAACACTCATCTGGTAAACTACGTACACCGTCAAGAACAAATGAAATTGTTCACGGCTAAGCAATTCCTTCTATACAATGAAGACATAGGGCTTAGCAGTGAACTATAATCATAGCAGCGATCACAATAGATCTTTTAGGTCGCAGTGTTACCAGTATCTTTCTCTAGATATGTATAAATGCTCGCACATAATAAAAAAATCCATTCATCCATTTTCTAGATACTATAACTGCATAAATAACTTTGTAATCCTATATAAATATATGGGTTTAAAAAATTACATATGCAGTGAATCGATCAGTGTACCTATATAATATGTATAATAGGTATAAATAGGTACGTTATTGGTATTCAAGAAGTAGATGGTACCGGAAAGAAGAAAAAGTAAGACTTTCTACAAAAAGAAATGAGATGCCATCAAAAACATAACTTGTAAAAAAAAACAAGTCTCGCAACTCAGTTCCTCTACCGTAAAAAGTTGTGAGATCCATGTAATACCAAGTCGGTTAATTTATTCGGTCCCTACTTAAGGGTGCTTCTGTTTTAAGTTATCACGTAATTAGCTCACCTAAAAATATCTTATTGTTAACATATAAATGTTAAAAATCTTTTAATGATTTAAATAAATAGATTGACTTGGCAATCGCACGAAACTATCTAATTTAATATAATATGTATTATTTGTGAGATACATTGTACTTTTATGGGATGTTGTTAGGTTAGCTACTAACGTAATAACTTGAAATAAAAGAACCCGAACCAACTATTACTGAACCGAACCAACCGAATAAATTAACTGACATGGTATTTCATGGATCTCACAACTTTTTACGGTAGAAGAACTGAGTAGCGAGACTTATTTTTCACAAGTTATGTTTTTCATGGCATTTGGGATTTTTCGGTTAAAAGCTATAATTATATGATGTGTTTCACATTAAAAAATTGACTAGTGTTGGAACTACCTATTGTGACAATTTTCGCAAATTGAAGTGTTGTTTGTCTATCACTGTTAACTAAAACAAATATCAACACGGTCGTTTTACAAGTGAATCTGAGGGTGGCTTAAAAAAACAATTGTTTACTTAATATCGGCTATCGTTCGTTATAATGACCAAACGCGTGTGGATTTAAGACGAAATGGAATCGTGTTCATGTAGGTTTTAAGGCGGTTTTAAGGGTGCCCGGTTAGCTGCTAACAATATTCCGTTTACCTACTCATGTCGCAATATCGACGAGTAGGATTTTTTATAACGTTATCCCCACACTAGGATTTTCTCATCATCATCATCAGACAGTTTACAAACATAAATTGCACGAGGACTAACATCCAGACCCGATACAATTCTTTGTAGGCCACACAAATATTTGTTCCATGCGGGATTAGAACCCGCGGCCTCGTCGCAGCCACTCATTGCCAAGCCAGTGCAACACGGTGTCGTCACTTTGTTAAAGTATTTTTTTTTAATTTTTATGCCAAGCGTCTTGTCCAAATAAAATAATGATGAAGTACTTTTCAACATAAAAATAAACTAGGCAGCTTAAGTACACTCAAGTGTTTTTTACCAGTATTTTTTATAACGCTACCCTCACAGTAGGATTTTTTCCTGTATCGTGGAGGCAGTTTACAAACATAAATTGCAAGAGTACTAACATCTACAAATATTATACATCGTTTTTACTTATCAGTTTGTTTTGTAAACAAACTTAGTACCTATATTTACATGTTTATTACTTGCTACTAGCTCACTGTCTAAGTGGATACTAGGATTAAGGAAGGCATTTAAACCTGTTTGGATGCCTAATTTTTCACTACCTCTCAATGGAATACCACCGTTATCAATATTTTTTTAATATATAGTTACGTTTATACGACGTCCACAGCGTGGCGTAGAGAGCACCTGTGTACGAAATTGTACACAGGTGCTCTCTACGCCACGCTGTGGACGACTGGCAGGACTGTTTGAACGGCCCGGGCGCTATTTAATTGCACAATATTTATTTGATATTTGTTTTTAAAATGATATAGGTATACTCTTTTATTGAAAAATAAACCCATAATTTACTCACGTATTTATTGGTAAACACATAGCCTGAATTTAATTGAAATTGATTACATTAAATTCGAATGAAACTGCTTTTTCACTTAGTGGGCGTACCTTAAATTGTAGATTTTGAGAAAGCTTTGCGATCTTTTTCTATCGAGACAAAAGGTGTCAATCGTGTTTTGGCCACCATAATTCACCAAGAAACATCTTTATCTTTCATAGTGAATTAAAAAAAGTGAATTCGTAGTTTTTAATGACAAAAACGGCATTTTAAAGCGTGAAAAATCTGCTTTTGGCGCCCACACGCCTCACCTTAACGTGTACCAGTCACACTACGTCGAGATAACGCAGCTCGTGCGGAAACAAATTCATGTTTTCGTCTACTCATTCTAGCGACGCACAGTTTAATTCGAATTTATTAACTTGCCGTTCCGAGAACGTACGTTTTGTTATATCCATTTTTACAAGGCAGTAACATCTAAGTAAGCATTTATTTAATCACACGGTACTTTTCTTTAATATGACTTTAGTCATCAATTTTATTGTACCTTTCTATGTTAATATTAATTACATTTTTAATGATCAATTAGACTTAGAGCCCCGGGTATATCGGACATAGATTCCGAGACGTATTAAAGTCCGGGATTCAGGTACTTTTTCAATTTGGTGTGTGAACTTTTCAAAAAACCTTTAGGTTTACTTAGTGGTTTTTTTTAAAGTCAAACGGGAACGGCCTCCTAACATTTGGAATGGCAACTTATACAACAATATATGTATATATAGTGTGTGTGTGCTGGTGCGTGGTGTGCGTGCGTGTGCGTGTGCGTGTGCGTGTGCGTGTGCGTGTGCGTGTGCGTGTGCGTGTGCGTGTGCGTGTGCGTGTGCGTGTGCGTGTGCGTGTGCGTGTGCGTGTGCGTGTGCGTGTGCGGTGCAGTGCGTGCGTGCGTGTGTGTGTGTGTGTGTGTGTGTGTGTGTGTGTGTGTGTGTGTGTGTGTGTGTGTGTATGTGTGTGTCATCACCTAGACGGACTCCGAGACAGGAAAGGTGTCCTACTACATAAGCAAGCGTGACCAACAAGCTCACAGTCAAACTAGTAAGAGGATACTGAACTTCTGACAGCTAAACCTTTCAATAATTATGAATCAAAATGCTGATTCACTGTTATACCTGCGGTATAAAATAAATCTGCCTTCATTATTTAAACTAAATATATTATGCTGCTGTTTTACAATGGTGTTCTGTGATAGCGTGGTCCTTCTCCCGTCTTTTTTTTATAGGATGGGATGGCAAATGAGCACACAGTCCACCTGATTGTAAATGGTTGCTGTGGCCCTCAGACATCTATATCTATCTTCGATTACGAATCAAAATGCAGATGCGTTATTATCCGTGAGGACTTAGGTGCATTCGCATTCGCACGTTTAGAGAATCGATCTATTTTAAATCGATTTTTTTTTCTGTTGGCAACTCCCACTCTCCGTTTACCCACCGGTCCGATAGCCACTTCATTCCTTAACTGTGCGAGGCAACGTTCGCACGTGCCTTTCTTTAAAAGTGAAAATAATTTATATTCAGTGGTCACTATGCCAAAAAAAATAAGAAAAAATTAAACGTTATCGACGTAAAATTAGAAAAATGGAACAGGAGCAGCGAAAATACAAACGAATCATTTATTCATCTTCTGAAAACTCTGATAAAGTTTCGGGTTAGTAAAGTTTTATCTTTAAACATTATAAATACTAAATTAAATACAATATTATAAAATAATGTATTTACATTTTACCTGGAGGTTGACCGTGTGTCATCACGAAGGTGAGTTTAATACCGATAGGTTAACCGCGTGTTAACACGAAGATACTTGGAAATCGTTCGAGAAACGGTTTTACAGCTATTTTTATAAAATAATTTTATAATATTCGTATATTAATATTCGAATATAATATCGTATATAAAATTATATTGAGATAATATAAAATATTGTATTAAAATTAATGACCTGTGTTTACACATGACCAGTAGATTAAATGTTACTATTCGAGCAGTAATTTATTTGCCTTTGGTTCGAATATCTACCCTCAATAACAATTATTGTTTTAGGTAATGAAAACCTTGATAACGCCGACATAGAACCCTTGAATTCAGAGTATCCAAGCGGCAAAAATAGTGCTTTAAATAATGAGGAGACAAAATATGACTCTGACCAAGAACCGGTAGTGTCAGAATTAGAGCCTGACATCCTTACTGCCTTCGGTGAGACCACGGAAGAGACACCGAAGTTGGGCCCGAAACTCCATGAAAAGTTAGCTTAGCTGTGGCTACATATACTTAAAAAAGGTATACATAAAGAGGCGAAAGGGAAATTACTCAAGGAGTGTCTGATACCGGAAAACTGCTCGTTATTACAAGCGCCAAAATTAAACCCTGATATTTCGGCTGCTGTTTCTGAGGGCACCAGGACTCGAGACAAGAGAGTCGAGGCCGTACAGCAACAATTAGGGCAGGGGATATCAGCTCTTAACAAAGGTCTCGAACTCCTCTTAGAGGATGGCAAATACAGACTTCAAGCCGTTAAGTTTCTCAGTGACAGCTGTAGAATACTATGTTACATACACTTTGTAGAAACGGAAGCAAGGAAGAAATTCGTGACCCCAGGATTGGATAAATCCTTTATGAATATTATGCAGGAAGTGGATCGCGATGACCTGCTCTTTGGAAGTAAGCTTTCAGAAAAAATAAAAGCCACAAGAGTGATCGAGAAACACAGTTTACAAATCAAGAAACCTGTCCAAAATTTTAAAACTTCTTACTCGTCACATCAACCATCAACGAGCCGCTCACGCCCCCAGGGAAACTGGGGAGGCCTTACTCGCTCCTCGTCAAACAGAGGGCTGAGGGGAGGGCCGAAGAAGAATACACTACCAAGTCGCAGAGCGCCACCAGGCACCAGCTTCCAACCGAAGCCGTCGACGCAGAGCAAGCACCGTGCCACAGATCAATAACAGTAAAGGTACACGCAGGAAGAATTCAGCATTTTTATAACTGCTGGTTTAACATAACTAGAAATTCTCAAATACTTAAGTGGATCTCAGAAGGGTATTCCATACCGTTTTGTAGCAAAGTAAGACAAATTTCAGTTCCACGTAATTCTGTACTCAGTAATGACCCGCATATGTTCTATCTAATCTATCAAATCTATCAAATCTTTCTATCAAATCTTTATTAGATCCTGCCGCTATTTCACCCTGTCACAGATCGATGGACGACTGTGTTTCCAATGTATTTCTAGCTCCGAAATCTAACGGAGCAAAAAGATTTATCTTAAATCTTAGAACTCTAAATAGGTTTACTTCAACCACCCATTTCAAAATGGAAGACCATAGGACTGCGGCTAGACTTTTACCTAAATCCGGCTTCATGGCAAATATTGATATAAAAGAGGCTTACCTTTTGGTTCCAATAGCAATAAAACATCGTAAGTACTTACGTTTTCAATTTAATAAAAATGCTTTGATTTTAACGCTCTGCCATATGGACTGTCTGTTGCCCCTTGGGTTTTCACTAAGTTAATGAAAAAACCTATTACCTATCTACGACAACGAGGATACAGGTCGGTAATATATTTGGACGATATACTATGCATAGGCGACATTTACGAAGAGTGCTCCACTAACGTAAGTAAAACGTTGTCATTGCTCAAATACTTATGATTTGTCATCAATTACGAAAAAAGTTTCCTAGAACCAAAACAGATATGTCGATTTCTTGGGTTTATATATAATTCAGTTGATATGTCATTAAGTTTGCCAAATTACAAACGACAAGTTATCACGCAGTATGTCAAAAAATTTGCCTTACTCCTCAAATGCTCTATCAGGGAATTGTCGCAACTAATAGGAATACTTACTGCTGCCTGTCCAGCCGTTAGATGTGGTTGGTTGTAAACCAAAATTCTCAAACGTCAAAAATATTTAGCCTTACTAAAATACAATGATTTTGAAGCAAAAATCAAGCCTTCAGTCATTATTTTACCCGACCTGCAATGGTGGAAACAAAATATATTTTCCACTAGCAATTCACTGAGGCCAAACAAAAACTTTGCTTTAGAAATATATACTGACGCGTCCAATACAGGCTGGGGGGCTGTTTGTGATGATAAAAGAGTAAAAGGTGGATGGAAGGACGATGAATTATTCTTTCACATTAATTACCTAGAACTACTAGCCGTTTTCCTAGGCTTGAAATGCTTTGCTATTGCTCACTCTAATTGCTCTATTTTACTCCGCGTGGACAACACAACTGCCATATGCTACATAAATCGTATGGGCGGAATACGGTTTCCACATTTAAATAATTTGACCAAAACTATTTGGCAGTGGTGCGAGAAGCGAAATATCTTCTTATTTGTATCCTACATTAACACACACGACAACCGCGAAGCTGATGAAGAATCACGAAAATTAAACGTAGATACGGAAGTGGGAATTATCGGAACGGGCGTTCCCAACAATTGTTCAAAGTCTGAGAGAACCTGAAATTGATCTTTTCGCTTCTCGTACCAATGCAAAATTCCTTCAATATATCTCATGGAAACCTGACCCCGACGCAATGTCAATTGACGCTTTTACAGTTAACTGTAACACGTCGTTCTTCTACGCATTTCCACCGTTCGCATTAATACTAAGATGTTTACGAAAAATTATTAGTGACAAAGCCACCGGTATATTAGTATTTCCTTACTGGCCTGGACAAGCTTGGTTTCCACTGCTCAAAAGAATGCTCATCTCGGAGATTATTTTCTTTAAACCCAATAGAGACCTTTTGCGTTGTCGTTACAGGTTACGTCACCGACTTCATGCCAGCCTTTCCCTGGCGGCCGCGACGCTCTCAGGGCAGCATTTAAGAGATTAAACACTCCGGACATAGCACTAGATCTCATGCTAGCATCCATCTCAAATAATACTATGAAACAGTATTCTAGTACATACAGACTGTGGTAGCAATTTTGTATAAATAACCAAGTAAATACCTATGACGCTCCATTTTCATCCATAATATCATTTTTAGTGGATCTGTACAAAAATGGAACATCATATGGATCCATTAATAGTCATCGCTTTGCCCTATCACTACTCCTCGGGAATAATATAGGGTCAAACGAACGAATTAAGCGGTTATTAAAGGGTATTTATAGACAAAAACCTTCCCTTCCCAAATACACAACTACATGGGATCCGAAAACTGTGCTTGATTATGTATCTAAATGGTATCCAAATAGCAATATAAGCCTAACAAAACTTACGAAGAAAACAACAATACTTTTTGCTTTGTGTACTTCTCACCGCGTACAAACTCTCTCTAATAAGAACTTCTAATATCATAAGATCCCCGTCAGGTGCTAAGATTTTTGTAACTAACATAATAAAAACTTCAGCACCAAATCGAGAGCAACCAGTATTATTCCTGCCTTATTTCGTGGAGAACCCAAGTACATGTCCAGCTAGAACCCTAGACGACTATCTTATAGTATCATCTGGACTGCGAACTTAAGGGACTGACAATCTCTTGCTTACTCATAAAAAACGTTACAAAAAGGCATCATCTCACACTATAAGTCGATGGATAAAGCAGACTTTAGCAGAGAGCGGTGTGGACGTGAATATATTCACTGCCCACAGCAATCGTCACGCTTCTACTTCAGCAGCAGCCTCCGCCGGAGTTTGTATTGACACCATAAGAAAAACGGCTGGATGGTTTACCTCATCTATGACATTCGTTAAGTTCTATAATCGCCCAGTAATGGATGAAGGAGAATTTGCCCGACCCGTCAGTGTGATTAATGATAATACTAACAAGTGCAAGACAAATTATGTAATTGTTTGTTTAAATCATTAAGAAAAAGTTGGAAGTAGTATTATATTTTTTTTACCCAAATTAAAGTTTTTTCCTAATACTATAAATGTTTTATTAACCTAAGAACATTTATCTCTTATTTTAACTACCTCTAAACATCTACCTAAGTTAATTGTATCTGAAGAATGAAGCGACGAAATATAATATGATATCAAACGAACTTCTTGAAGTGAAGTTAGATCATTATTATATGAGTCGCTTCATTCGAAGATATAAAGGTGGGCGTAAAAAACTTAAACAAATATCTCTAAAAAGAATGAAGTGGCTATCGGACCGGTGGGTAAACGGAGAGTGGGAGTTGCCAACAGAAAAAAATTCGATTTAAAATAGATCGATTCTCTAAACGTGTGAATTCCTCGAGTAGGTTAAGGTACTACCTAAGTTAATTGTATCTTCAAATGAAGCGACTCATATAATAATGAACGAACTTCACTTCAAGAAGTTCGTTTTATATCATACTACCAATATAACTGCAGCATGGCTCTACCATTTAAAATACTTAAAACTCTAGGATTAAACCAACTCATTCCTGTTTTAGTCATAATATACTCGTAGTTGTAGCGTGCTAGGCAAACCGTTTCAGAATAAATTTCATATATTCGAGTGATTAAAGTCACCCCTCCTCTTTAAATTGTAAAAACATTATTGCTTATTTTCCTCGTCTATAATTAGAACATAATCGCGGGACACAGATGCGGCAAACACTATCTGAGTTATAGTTCGTAATACTCTCTATGCCCGTGTGGTACAAGCCCTTTATTTAGATATATTGATGTAGTAAGACAGACAGAAGATATTATAAATATCTTGGTGAAACACTAAATATATTTGTATTTTGAACACATAAGTTTATTTAAAGTCTACGTTGTCTACTTAAAGTCTCCTATCAATAAAATAATTTACTTTGTGTTATCTAATCAAGCTTATGGCATATCCTCTGGAAAAAAATCATCATACACAATTCAAAACCTAATTAACCAATTGTTGTAGTTCCTAATATTACACCATATACCACCATACAGCTGAGTTTGACGTGTATTTTATTCAGAAAACTCTTGTGTATATACTAATTCGTTCTTTAAGGATTCCCTCTATGCTAGTAATTACCCTATAAACATACATGAAAATTATATGAACTAGTTGTTGTTGTAACCATACAGGCCTTACCATACAGTCTAGTCTCATGTGTATTTTGTTTAAACTGGATTATCTTTAATTACTGACTTCCTGCAGTAGTATGACCGAAGAAAAAAAATCAGGATTTTAAACTCTATATTTTTACATATTTTGTATTTGTAGACGCAAGAAAAAAGTCACATGTAATTTGTTAGGGAGTTGGCCATTGTCCTTTTCTTATTAAAATAGGCTTCCAAAACTTTAGATAGGAAAGGTAAAACTG